AAAAAAAATCATAATAGATGATAAGAAAAAAAAAAATAGAATTAGACCACCAAAGTTGGTTAATATCCACGTCAGAATGAAAATAGAAAATTCCTTGGAAACGCAGGAACCTTTGATTGAATCAACCAAACATGTCTCGGGTCGTCGTCTAGTAATACTATATTAATCCAAGATCCCCCCAATATAGTCAACTTTTCAATATTTCTTTCTTCACTTTAAAACTAATAAATATTACCCACTTTTAATTATAATAATCTTATTTCTCATTACTAATTATTATAATACAAAATCACTTGTGAGTCTAGGACTAACATATAATTCCAGTGGGCTTATCATTCGTGGGACCCGCATCCGCAATGCCCCGTTTCTCACACTAATATATATACAATAAGTCTAGTGTGATATAAGATATTATACTCATAAGGCTAAATCAGTTTGTTGAACCGATCGAAGAGGTCATACCATGGAGAAACCAAGCTGAATGGCGGGAAAATCAACCAGTTAATCAGTCGACCAGCTAAGCAGTAGACCAATCTATCCTTCGACCAAGTAAACGGTCGAGCAGTTTAGTCGACCAGCTAAGCAGTCGACCAATCTATCCTTCGACCAAGTAAACGGTCGAGCAGTTTAGTCGACCACTTCGCGGACTTAACACCGCATAGATCGGCCTAGTCACAGACGCGTGAAAGAGCCTCTAACGGAATTTCAGAGGATTATTCACTCCATGTGCAGTAGGACACGTGTCGAGAACCTATTGGTTAATAGCGACAACCACCTCTGATAGCTCCCAATGTCCCGCGCCACCTCTGACATGCGCGCGGCGTGTTAGAGTACGGACGGGCAGTTAGGGCAGCCAGCTCATCAAATCCGGGCAGCCTTGGTTCAGGTATTTCATCCCTATATAAAAGGGGTGAGCTTTTCTTCCTTGACACAATTTTTCCATTAGTCAATTCCTGTATACTCATACACATACTGACTTAAGCATAAGAGGCTCTTCACCAGACACAACCTCCGGTGTGAGAGTTATTTGCAGGTTTCCAGCGTTCTACCGGCGAGGAAAAGAATCGATCTATCCCAAACTGGGTCAGGACGCTTACACTTGCATTATAGTGGTATACTACTCTTACAATTAAGATAAAACCTCATTTGGACTTCAGCTGAATTTATGGTGGCTTTACGTACGTGATGACCCTTTACACTAATATATACAAAATCATTTTCATATCATATGTGATGACCCTTTACACTAATATATACAAAATCATTTTCATATCATATTAATTTATAAGGAGATGCTACGGTCCTGTTACGGAACAATTTCGTCGTAATTTGTAATCGTTGGATTATCATGTAATCGTCGAAGATAGTTGATCCAACAGTTACAAATTTCGACAGAATGGTTCCGTCACGAGACCTTAACATTTTCCTAATTTATATATGGAAATTTATAATTCTCCTCCTCTTGTACAGTTGAGCAACTTTTTTAAAAACAAACACATTAAATATTGGATTTTCCAATTCAAGTAGTGCTTTCATCTCATGATCTCATCTCTATCTCCTTTTCTTCTTCATTTACATTAATCTACAGTTGCACACCACCAAACCCAAAACACCAAACCCAAAATCGAGATGGGCTACCTCTCTTGTAAAGCCGAGTCGTCCATCTCAATCGTCGATTCCGGCAAAGAAAGACCGGTCAAGATCCAGCAATTCAGCTACTCGGACCTCGAGCTGGCCACTGCCAACTTCTCCCACTCCAGGCTCCTCGGCCGCGGTAGCCACGGCCTCGTCTACAAGGGCCTCCTCCGCGGCGGCCGCCCCGTCGCCGTCAAGAAGCCCTCCCAGAAGACCCAGAGCCCCTCCGAGTTCGACAACGAGATAGACATCCTCTCCCGGCTCCACAGCCCCCGGTTCGTTAACCTCGTCGGGTTCTCCCGCCCCGACCCGACCCGCGCGGACCGCCTCCTGGTCGTCGAGTTCATGAGCAACGGGACCCTCTACGACGCCCTGCACTCCAGCCCCCGCCCCCCGAGCTGGGGCCGCCGGATCCGCCTGGCCCTGCAGACGGCGCGTGCAGTCCACACGCTCCACTACCAGTCGCCCCCCGTCATCCACCGCGACATCAAGTCCGCCAACGTCCTCATCGACCGGAGATTCAGCGCGCGGCTCGGAGATTTCGGCCTCGCCCTGCGGTGCGGCGACGGTTCCCGCCTGAAATCGACCCCGCCGGCGGGGACCATGGGGTATCTGGACCCCGGGTACGTCACTCCCGACAGCCTGAGCACAAAGACCGACGTCTTCAGCTTCGGGATCCTGCTCCTCGA